TCATTTTTTTTTCATCTTGACCTCAGGGTATCCTGTTATTACGTGCCTTGGGGATGATCTTCTGTGGTGTATCTTACTGGGGTTCTCTGCATTGCCTGAATTTGAGTGTTGGCCTCTCTAGCTAAATCGAGGAAGTTCTCATGGATGATATCCTGAAACATGTTTTCCAAATTGGTTCAATTCTCCTCATCTCTTTAATGTACACCAATCAGTCACAGAGTCAGTCTCTATATAATCCCATATTTCTCAGAGGTTTTGTTCTTTTTTTATTATTTTTTCTCTATTGTTGTGCCTGACTTATTTCATAGTCTTTAAGTTGTAAGATTCTTACCTCTGCTAGCTCTATTCTGCTATTAATACTTGTGATTGCACTGTGAAGCTTTTGTAGTGTGTTTCTCAGCTCTATCTGATCAGTTATGTTCTTCTCTATGCCGGTTACTTTGGCAGTCAGCTCCTGCATTAAATCATGTTTAATCATGATTTTTAGCTTTCTTGCATTAGGTTACAATGTGCTCCTTTAGCTCAATGAATTTCATTTTTGTCCACATTCTAAAGCCTACTTTTGTCATTTCAGCCATCTCAGTCATCTCAGCCTCAGCCCAGTTCCAATATCTTAGAGGTGTTGTGGTCATTTGGAAAAAAGAAGCAGTGGCTTTCTAAGTTTTCAGCATTTTTGTTCTAATTTTTTCTCATCTTTGTTACCTTATCTACCTTCAATCTTTGAGGCTGCTGACCACTGGATGGGTATTTTGTGTTATGAGTTTTGTGTTGTTTTTCTTTTAACATTCTGGATACTTTTCTGTAGGGCTGCTGCCATTTTCTGGGGGTCAATTCACCTCATATTTTCCAGTACCTGGAGGTATCACCAGTAAAGGCTGTTCACAGCAAGGATAGTAGCCTGCTTTTTTCACTGAGAGCTTTGTCTTAGGTGGGCACAAACCTATTGCTGGCCTAAAAACACCTATAGGAGGTGGCTGGAGACCCCAGTTGGGAGGTCTCACCCAGTCAGGAGGAACAGGTACAGTGACCCACTTAAAGAAGCAGTCTAGCTGCTAATGTTGGGGAATCCCTTCAGCCCATGACTGGTTTAAGGTCTTGAAGGTATACAGGCTGGAATGGCAGAGTGCCCAAACAGCATAGGTAGTGACCTACCACTTCCCCCAGCACTCAATCCCAAGGAGAAATTGGAATTCTATCCATTGAATGCAGGCAGGGGTGGCTGGAAACCTCACTGTTAGATCTCACCCAATGAGGAGGAGTGGATCTAGGTTTCATTTAAAAAAGCTGTCTGGCCACGCCTTGGCAAAGCAGTTGTGTTGTACTGGGATAATACCTCCAACCTGCTCAGCTTGGACTCAGCAAAGCCCTCAGCTTGGATTAGCTGAGTTGTCTGAACAACCAAGATGATGGCCTACCCCTTTGCCCAGGAGCTCCTTCCCGTCTCAGCCAGGAACTACCCTGTTTCCAGTGGCTGGCTGGAATTCCAGCCCAGTGGGTCTTGTCTTGTGAGGTGCTGTGAAAGTGGGGCCTGCAGAATAACCCTGCTCAGCCCCTGGATTTGACCCCCTTCCTGGTGTATGTACAGACCTCCCTTTTTGCCTGAGTTGCAGTCCTCTTTGCTGGGGATCCTGGAGCCAGAGTAGGTAAATCTCCCTGGTTTCTGTGCGTGCCTAAGCACTTGCTCTGTCAAGACTCCACACAACTCTGTATGTCAGACCCAGCTCCGATGGAGTGGGTACAGGAGGAAATCACCTGATCCAATGATTGCAAAGACCCATAGGAAAAGTGTCATTTTCCAGGGTCACATGTTTACTCACCACTTCCCTAGGCTGAGGGTGGGAGTTCCCTTGGCTCCATGTTACTCACAGATGGATAATTGCCTTGCCTTGCTTTTCTTCATTCTGTGTAGGTCAAGCTTTTTCCTTGATCAGTCCCAATGTGGGCACCTGAATATTTCTATTGAAAGTGCTATATTCACTTATTTTGCTCCTCTCTGTGAATGCCACACTGTAGCTGCTTCTAATCAGCAATTTTGGCTCCACCCTCTAGACTCTCTTTCACTACTTGTTAATTCAGGGTCATTAGAATTTGCAACTGACTGAGAACATTATATTTCTTAATGTATCAAAATCATGTCCCTTTGGGAGTAAGGATCTCCAAACCCATTAAGCTCAAGAGTACAGAAAATGAAAGCAAAAATTCACCCAGTAGAATATTTCATGTAAAAATGAGATGATCTACTTCCATGCTTTGGTTCTCAAAACCATGCAACTATATGGGGGAGATAGCACCACATAGAAATGTTTGGATCAATGCATAAAATGAATCTTGCAGTCAGTAATCTAGCTTCAAAATTAAAATCAACAGTTGAGGGTATGGAGCCATTACACCATTCTCTCAAGCCAGTTGTTTCTGAACAATGGAGTACAGAGTAAGACCAATGAATTCTGTAGTTATCATACAGTCAAACTTCCTTTGTCTTGTCATACATTTCTTAGAAGCAAAATTATGTGAGATATTATAAGGATGTATAAGGCATCTGTAAGTCTGTGGATGGTGGTACTAGCAGAAACACTGCAGGCAGGGAAGAAAAAACCCTGTCTAGAATATGTATCTTTTCCCTGTAAAGAGAAAATTACTGTCTCCTCTACATTAAAAAGGGCCAGTGTAATCAATGTGACAGATGGTCAACTTGTCTTTCCAAAAATGCATCACATTGGAAACTCAAGGTTGGCTTCTACTGTTGACCAGTTGGATAATCAGCAATAGTAATATTAAATTCCTGGTGAATATAATTAGAGATTGTTCTTGGTAAGAAGTTCATGTTAGTGCTCTGATACAAAGTCACCATTCCTATTTCCATGACCATTTTTCTCTCTTTTAAAAAAGATTATTTCAGTAGGTTTTTAGGCAACAGGTGGTGTTTGGTTACCTTTTCCATGTGTAATGGAAATCTCAGAATTTAGTGTTAATTTCTGAGATTTTGGTGTACCTATCACCTGGGCAGGGCACACTATACCCTTTTATCACTTGCCACACTCCCACACTTCCCCTGAGTCCCCGAAGTTCATCATATCAATAGTATGCCTTTGTATCCTCATAGCTTAGCTCCCACTTATGGGTGAGAACATGCAATGTTTGGTTTTCCATTTCTGAGTTATTTAGAATAATGGTCTGCAATTCCATCCAGGTTGCTGCAAGTGCCATTATTTCACTACTTTTTATGGATGAGTAATATTTTATTATATATATATATATATATAACTTGTCTGCTTATTCTGTTGATCATTACATTTGCTGTGCAGAAGCTTTTTAGTATAAGCCCCATCTATTTACCTGTGTTTTTGTTGCATTTGCTTTTGGGTTCTTAGTCATGAAGTCTTTGCCTAAACCAATGTCTAAAAGAGTTTTTCCAATGTTTTCTTCTAAAATTTTTATGACATCAGGTCTTACATTTAAGTCTTTGATCCATCTTGAGTTGATTTTTGTATAAGGTGAGAGATGAGGATCCAGTTTCATTTTTCTATATGTTGCCTGCCAATTATATCAGAACCATTTGTTGAATAGGGTGTCCTTTCCTCAGTTAATGTTTTGATTTGCTTTGTCAAAGATCAGTTGGTTGCAAGTGTTTGGTTTTATTTATGGGTTCTCTATTCTTTCCCATTGGTCTGTGTGCCTACTATTATGCCAGTATCATGCTATTTGGTAACTATATCTTTGTAGTAGTTTGAACTCCAGTTATTTTTGCTTAGTCTTGATTTGGCTATGTAGGATCTTTTTTGGTTCCACATGAATTTTAGGAAAGCATAGAGAGAATGATTCAAGACATTAGACTTGATGATTATTTTCTGGATATTACACCCAAAGCCCAGACAGCAAAGCAAAAACATACAAATGCACTACATAAAAGTTAAAATCTTTTTTTACAGTAAAGAAAAAAATTGGTGAAGTGAAAGGTAGCCTGCAGAATGGAAGAAAGTATTTGCAAACCATGTCTTGAAAGAGGCTAATATTCAGAATATCTAAAGAACTTCAACCCAATAGCAACAAAAGAAATCTGATTTTAAAATGGCCAAAGATTTGGATTGATACTTTTCAAAAGAAGATATGCAAATGGCCAAGAAGCATATGAAAATATATTTAACATTACTAATAATCAGGGAAATGCAAATCAAAACCATAATAAGGTATCACCTCACATCCATTAGGATGGCCACCATCAGAGAAATAAACAAATAGGAAAAACAAGTATTGATGAGGATGTGGAGGAATTGGAACTCTGTGCACTGCAGGAACGTAAAATGGTGCAGTCACTATAAAAAACAGCATAATAGTTTAAAAAAATAAAATTAGAAAAATAGAATTACCATATGATTCAGCAATCTAATTTCTGAGTATATATGCAAAGAATTAACAACAGGATCTCTGTGGTATATTTGTACACCTATATTCATTGCAGCATTATTCACAATGGTGAAGAGCTGGAAGCAACTTAAATGTCCATTGAAAAATCAATGAATAAAGCCAATGTGGTATGTACAATAATACAGTGGAGCATGATTCAGCCTTAAATGAATAAGGATATCTTGTTATATGCTACAACAAGCATGAAACTTCAGGATATTATTCAAAGTGAAATAAGCCAATCACAAAAAGACAAATACTGCATGACTCCAGTTTCATAAGGTACCTAAGATAGTCAAACTCTCAGAAACAGAAAGTAGAACAACGATTGTATTTTTCAAGATGCAAAAGTTCTAGATATATATTGCAAAACAATGTGATATAGTTAACAGTATAGTTCTAAACACTTCAAAATATTTAAGATGTATACTTTAGATGTATTTATATGTACATATATGTGCCTATGTCACACTTGTATATATTTTTCTAAAATCATGATTATTACAAGTTAAATATATATGTTTATTTATAAGCTATGGTATCTATTTAGTAAATATTTTATACAATGTAAACAAAAGAAAAAAAATAATGCTTACTTTTTTATGACAGTACTATGCTCGCGGACCTTAACTAGTGGTGCTCCTATCACATAACCCATAGCATATCCAATGATTTGGGTACATTCTGCAATACCTATAAAATAAACACTGAACATCAAGCAATTTCATAAGCCAGCTTTGTTATGATAAAAATTAATTAACTAAAATTGATTACTTCTGAAAGCTTTTCACAGCATTCTGTATTATTCAGAGTTCTTCAGAGAAACAAAACCAATAAAAGAGAGAAAAACAGGAATGGAAAACCAAACATCATATGTTCTCACAACTGGGAGCTAATCTATGAGGATGCAAAAGCCTAAGAATTATATAATGGACTTTGGGGACTCAGGAGTAAGGGTGGGAGGGAGGTGGGTGAGGGATAAAAGACTGCACATTGGGTATAGTGTACACTGCTTGGGTGATGGCTGCAGCAAAATAAATCACTACTAAAGAACTTATCTATGTAACCAAATACCACCTGTTCCCCGCAAAATTATTGAATTTAAACAAACAAAAATAAAAATAACTTTCAAAAAACACAGAGAGAGAAAAAACAGAGAGATTCATTTTAAGGAATCGATTCATACAAAATACAATTATGAGGCCTAGCAAGTCCCAAATTTGTAGAGAAGGCCAGCAGGCTGGAAAGTCAAGTGAGAGTTGATGTTACAGTCCAGATAGCATTGCTTCTTCAGAAAACCTCAGTCTTACCTCGTAGAACCTTCAACTGATTAAATGAGCCCCACCCACATTATGAAATCAGTTTTATTCAAAATCTACTGATTGTAAATATTCATCACATCTAAAAGTGACCAGCACCAAAACATCTAGACTAGTGTTTGTCTATACAACTAGGTATCATAATTTAGCCAAGCAAACACATAAAATTAATCATAATACATATTATCCAATACATGTATTAGAGAAACTCAGTATATAATTCATTATACCTTATTTAATCTATGTATTTCATGTAATATATTTATATTTAATATAATTATAAATTCACAATACCGTATTTCATTTCAAGTTGGGTATTCTAGCAAGATGATACTTTAACATTATCATTACCTCTTCACCCTTCACCTTAGCTACCAGGGTGTCAGGATGTCTCAATATACCTTTGCAGTAAGTGTATAAAAACAACTTAAATTTTCAGAAGTGATAGTTAGATAACCCTGTACAAATAGATGATCTACCAGGACCAGAATCTATTGCAATAGAAGAGAGTACAGATTACCCTGAGATATAGCCAAGATTACTTATTGTAGGATACAGTAGCATAAGAGATTGCAAATAGGGATAGTATGCTATTATTCATTAAATATATATACATATATAAATATACATATTTATAAATGTACATACACATATCCATAAAGAGTATGATTTTTATTACTTAAGAAAGTATTTTTTGTTTGTTTGTTTGTTTGAGACAGAGTCTTGTTCTGTCACCCAGGCTGGAGTGCAGTGGCGGTATCTCGGCTTGCTGCAACCTCTACCTCCTGGGTTTAAGTGATTTTCCTGCTTCAGCCTGCAGAGTAGCTGGGATTACAGGTGCTCACCACCACGCCTGGCTAATTTTTTTGTATTTTTAGTAGAGACACAGTTTCACCATGGCTTTTCACTCCTGACCTCAAGTGATCTGCATGCCTTGGGCTCCCAAAGTGCTAGGATTACAGACATGAGCCACCATGGCCTGATGAAAGTATAGATTTTTTTCAGTTGCTCTATATATTTTCAGTGACATTCAGGTGACTTGTCTAGAATCTCGAATCTCAAACAGCTCTTTAGAATTAGGTGAATCAATGTGATTTAAAGGTTTAGCATACCAGTTATCATTTATTACAATGTTAATATAAGGACCAAGAGTACTTCTATATCAGTTTAGATACGCATACCAAAATTCAAGGAAAATTCACAATGGGTCAATCATATTAGAGGGAGTTAAAAACTTGCCTAAATAAGTACCAGCTGAGTGTGTAGCAACACTTTCTTCAATAAAGGTTACTCCAAGGATATAAAGAGGTATTGCTGCTATTCCTTGCACAGTCTGCCCAAGGGTGAAGAAAGACAAGTATTTTGACTGGAATGATGCACGCCTCTGGCAACCACTGACAATCTTTGTTTCTTTGCAAATATCTTTTGAAAAGACAATAATTATAGTTTTGTTAATTGAACTCAAAAGTTAAACATACAACAAATGTGCGGTATTCTTTATCAAATATTTTACAAGCTATTTCCAAAATTATACATTTTTCTTTTAGTTAACATGTCATTTACACTGAATGTAGTAATATTGTAATCAATCATCATGTTGTCAGAAAAATGCCATCATAAAATTTGGGCTAGACACAGCACACAGCTGTAGTACCAGATATTCAGAAAGCTGAAGTGAGAGGATTGTGACAAGTCTGGGCAATATACTGTGACCCCATCTCCAAAATAAAAAAAAGAAAAGAAATTATGTGGGAATCCCACAAAAGATGCATATATTACAAACCAAAATATAAATGTGAATGCTACACATAGCACATATTCCTCTTAAATTTGGCATCCTGTTCCCCTGACTTTTGACCCTAGGCTAAAAGTATTTCTAATGTTCTAGATTATCTGTGTTATCAAAGAGTACCTTCTGAGTTTAGTTTTATGTCCACCTCTTTAACAATCTTTATGTAAACTTTGTCTCATTCTGATTAAATAACTTCCCATTTTAGACCCACTAACTTTCAGAACATAGGTTCATAAAAACAAGGCATTACACAGTATACATTTCTTTCCATTAAAGTTAGTCATTATGTGGTCATCCACTAGATTTTAATTTCCTTCAGGTCACAGTATATTTCTTATACATTTTTTATTCAGATGGTTATAAAACAGTATTAAGTAAATGCTTGTGTAATTATTATTTGTTTGTAGATTGGTAGATCGAGGCAATACTATTAGATTATATTGTACAGGTTGTTTTGCTTGACATTTAACACATGCTCTTAAATAATATTGTGGAAACCCTATTAAAGAGCAGATTGCAAAATAGTACACAAATGAACATTTTCAGCTGGCTTAGTATCCATGTGAAATGATTTTGACTCCATATAAAGTGGGAGGTAGTCTCTAGAACTGTCATTCAAATGCTGAAGGTTCAGTTTTATACAGACCTATTAACTTGTGATAACAGTGTCAATGTGATACTTCCAACACCCCGGCCTCTTAGTTTTTTGAACTTTTTTGCTGTTATGCAGTGTACTCCTTGGTTAGTGATATAGTTTGGCTCTGCGGCACCTCATCTCATGTGGAATTGTAATTCCCAATGTTGTGGGAGGGAGGTGGTGGGAGATGACTGAATCATTGGGGTAGATTTTTCCCTTGCTGTTCTCATGATAGTGAGTTCTCACAGGATCGAGTTGTTTGAAGGTGTGTAACACTCCCCACCTTGCTCTTCTCCTGCCACAATGTGAAGATGTGCTTGCTTCCCCTTCACCTTCCACCATGATTGTAAGTTTCCTGAGGCCTCTCCAGGCCTCCTATACAGTCTGTAGAATTGTGAGTCAATTAAATCATCTTTCTTTATAAATAACCCAGACTCAGATAGTTCTTTATAGCAGTCTGAGAAAAAACTAATACAGCTAGTCATTTTAAATGTCAAAAATAATAACTACAAACCTTTTCTAATGATAATTTCAAGCATCTACCTTCTAACCACCCCATCTTTCCAGCTGACTCTTTCTAGCAATGCACTGCCAACAATCCTTAAAATTCATCAGGGCATATAATCCATTGATTTTGTTCCTTTTCACTATCCCAATGTCCCTTTTATATCCTTACTTCTTTCACTATCATCTAAACACTTTTAATTCCCTTGCTGTCTTTCGGATCATGCAACCCCATGGTAAAACTGCAACCTACTCAAAATAACTCACTCCCTATATGACTTTTAAAGCTTGACATGACTGTACAACCATGCATATCCTACTTTGAATTCATGATTAATAAACTCAAGGAAGTCTTTTATGCTCCTGATAATCATAAAATGTGTCCCTAATCTATTTACTCTTTCCTTCTCAAAGAAAATTCAGGTTGGTTTTTTCTCTCCTCCTAGGGATCACAGTCCTGAGCTTCCTACTAACAAACATCTGAAAATAAATTTTTTCTATCAATAGACTAAAACTAATCATTAACTTCCTCTGTTATGACATATGTGTACACTAGGATGCTTCAATCAGTTAATTAGCAAACTTGGTCATATAAACCAATATGGATGCATGGATGGATGGATGGATGGATGGATGGATGGATGGATACACAGACAAACAATTATCACAGTCTATTTTAAGTTCCTTAAGCCAAGGTTTGAATAAATATTGATTTGATGAATGACAGTATATTTAAAATCTTACCTTCAATTGCTACCTTACTTTGATAATTTTCTTCACTAAATGATGGAAAAGCACATAAAAGTGATCCAAGTCCTATTAAAAAGGAGGAAACTACAAAGCATATTACTTTTTTTCTGTCTCCATAGAATGCTATAAATATTGCTACCAGGGCAGATGAAATATCATAACTCCACTCCAATGCCAAATTTTCAATGGTTTTCACATAATATTGCCTCTGAAAATCGCCAATGCTGACATCTATAAGACCTAAAATCACACCTAAAGTGTAAAAAGAAAAAGAGAAAGCAATGATATGCATTGTATGAGGTTGTCATTATGATTATTACAAAACAAAATTTAAATTACACAATGTGAGTTTATTTTACATTATTCTGAATGTTTAAAAGCTATAAGAATGCAACAATTGCTTTTCTAAAACACAAATAGGCCTTAACCTCTACAAAATATTCGCTAATTGAATTTTCGAAGCTATTTTTTAACTACCTCTATGAGTAATTTCCTAAATAAAAGTGATTGCTGTATCATCTCACTTAGTACTGATCTTTATTTTAATGCATTGCATTTCAAATTATAAAAAATTAAAATTATTACTAATATAATACTTATTTATCTACCATTCAGAATAGGAAATAAAACATTATCAAAATAGTTAAAGCCGGAGGCATACTTCCCAAACTCGTTTTCCTCCCTCCCTTCCATAATCAGTATCCTGTGTTTAAATTTTACCATTTTTTAGCCTTTTTAACATTTTTGACAGTGTATCTATCCTTAGACAATATCAAGTATTGTTTTTGATGTTCTTGAATATGAAATAAATGGTACCATATTATGTGTATTTCTATCACTCAACATCCAACTAGAAAAAATTAGTCATAAACACAATAAGAATTTGAAACAAAATTCACTGAGTCTTTGGGAGGCCGAGACGGGTGGATCATGAGGTCGAGAGATCGAGACCATCCTGGTCAACATGGTGAAACCCCGTCTCTACTAAAAATACAAAAAATTAGCTGGGCACGGAGGTGCGTGCCTGTAATCCCAGCTACTCGGGAGGCTGAGGCAGGAGAATTGCCTGAACCCAGGAGGCGGAGGTTGCGGTGAGCCGAGATCGCGCCATTGCACTCCATCCTGGGTTACAAAAGTGAAACTCCGTCTCAAAAAAAAAAAAAAAAAAAAAAAAATTCACTGAGTGTAGGGATTGATTACAAAAGTAGTACATTAGTTGGAGTCCAAATGGTTACTAATAAAATTTCATGATATCTATGCAACCAAAATAACTGGAGCATGGGCTGCTCCTACTATTGCTGTTGCTGCTGCTGTTAGAACTACAATCACTACCTTCTTTTGCAGGAAGCCAGGAGCTCACGGTCCTCCTAATGCTATGACAAGGAGCTCACCCTGCTGATTCTGATGCTCTTGCAGGTTCCAGAGCCAGAGTCATGAGCTCTGTGTTGCTGATAGCACCACGTTTATTCTTGAGCATAAATCTGGGAGCTTTTAATCATCCAGAATTGCTCCTGCTGCCAAAAACACCACCAGAAACAGAAAGGAAAAGAGTCTTCCCTTTGCCCTTTTTCAAATCTACTGCCACAGATTCACTGGCAACATGTAAGTGGAAATCAGCTGGCCTGCAGCAACTCTGGGAAGTGTAGTTTCAGGCTTCTCATTCCCTTGCAAATAAAGAGTGAATAATGGAGTTCATGGCCAACAGACAAATGCCTTGCAGAGTTTATCCTTCAGACTCTTTAATATACATTTTCATTCTTCTCATATTTAAATTTTCATATCAAATAAGTAGGAATATCATCATCCTTCTGCCTAATTGTATCACAATTATTATTTTACAGAGATGCTCTTACTGTTTCCCCAAAAATGAGAGATACATAGTCTAATCAATCAGCATGTCTATCTCAGTCTAATGCTAATCCTTCAGTTTAATCACAAACCTGAATGGATTTTCTTTAACCTAAAAACCAAATTGCAAAAATAACCACCAATAATTAAGCATATATATCACAGGCCTAACTAAATTTTTGAGGGAAATATATTGCCAAAGAAACCACAACCCAGGTTTGGAGCCACAGCTAGTTTTAGCAGACCAATACCAGTAGGAAACAAGATTTAAAACCTTTGCTGCACCCAAAATAAGAATTTTCTTTAACTGTTACATTAGATGGGGCCAAGGAGGATAATGGCCAATGTAGAAAATAAGTCCTGTCAGTAATTGAGTTTATCTCAAATATCAATTCCCCTTCTAACTGAGGCATATTCTATAACCTAGAGATTAATTTACATGGTTCTCTACTTTACATAGATTATTAATAGAAAAATAATATAGGAAAGGAGAGGAAGAGAGAAAATAGCCAGGACATATAGATATATAAACATATATACAGACAAATGTGCATATGACATATTTGTGTCTGAACACATAAACAAGTAAGAGGAAATGCAGAGCTGCTACAAGTTTTGTCACTCTAAGTGGTTATGAGACTACAGTTGGTATTTATAACTTCCTTCTTCTACTATTCACTCCCTCTTTTAGCCCTTGATCCCAGATAGCATACATAGGTTGCTCTCTCAAAGTGCATATCCCATCGTATAGGACAGCACTATAAACTTGTTGTCTACTACTGGGAGTGGTTGATTGTTGTCTGCTACTAGGAGACTTATCTGAGTCTTCAAAAGACTCATGATTATCTATAAGAGCAAGAGTTTCTGGTTATTGAGATATGTAGTAAAATCAGCAGGCCACTGAAACACCTGGGAGAGAGTCAACTGTTCAACTTGAAAAGGGAAAAAAAAAAGGAGGCTCAGAGTCAGGGAGCCAGTTGATCAGGCTCGGCAGGTCTCACCCCCACAGAGACAAACCAAATGGTGATTCAAAATGCTCGGGGTTGAAAGTTTCACTGTGGGCATGGCTGAACCCAGGATGGTGCAGCTTAGTGGGAAAGGGGCGTCTGCCATTACTGACATACACTCAGTACTGACGTGCATTCAGCCCCTACTGAGGTACACTCCCATTGCTGATGCAGCCTGCCATTGCCGAGGCAACCTGCCATAACAGAGATAGTCCGCCAACAGGGAAGAGCCCATGACAGCAGGGCAGAGCCCACTGCAACAGGGCAGAGCCCACGACAGCAGGGCGGAGCCCATGGTAGCAGGGCAGAGCCTCGGCAGGCAAATATTGACTAGATTGCCTCCTAGCTGGTCAGGACAGTGCAACAGATACTCAAAAAGAAAGCCCTAACTCCCCGAGACAGATCATCTGAGGAAACAAAGGGGATTTATGAGTTCTGCTGCAGCAGACTTAAACGCACCTGCCTAACAGCCCTGAATGATAAACGGGGCTCACAGCTCAGCACTTGAGCTCCTATAAAGTACAGACAGCCTCCTCAAGCAGCTCCCTGACCCCTGTATATCCAAAGAGTCACCTCAAAAAGGACTGATCAAACTGACATTTGGCAGGCATCATTCTGGGACAAAGATAGCAGCAGAAGAAACTGGTAGCATCCCTCACTGTTGCGCAGCTGCTACAGGTGTACCCCAGACAAGCAAGGCCAGGAGTGGACCTCAGCAGTCATACAGCGAAGGGGCTAGACTGGTAGAAGCAAAACTAAATAACAGAAATACTTCATCATCAACAATCTGGGCATCCACTCAGAGACCCTATCGAAAAGTCAGCAACTACTCAAACGACAGGTGGATAAACCCACAAAGATGGAAAGAAACCAGTGCAAAAATGAGGAAAATACCCAAAACTGAAACACCTCACCTCCTACAAAGGACCAAAACTCCTCACCTGCAAGGGAACAAAGCTGGTCAGAGAATGAGTGTGATGAAATGATGGAATCAGACTTCAGAAGATGGGTAATAAGAAACTTCCATGGGCTAAAAGAACATGTTCTAAATCAATGCAAAGAAACTAAGAACCTTGAAAAAAAGATTCGAGGAAATGATAACAAGAATGGACAACTTAGAGAGGAATATGAATGAATTGAAGGAGCTGAAAAACACGAAACGAGAACTTCACGAAGCATACACAAGTTTCAATAGCCGAATTGACCAAGCAGAAGAAAGAAAATGAGAAGGCGAAGATCAACTCAATGAAATAAAATGAGACCAAGATTAGAGAAAAAAAGCACAAAAAGGAATGAACAAAATCTCCAAGAAATGTGGGACTATGTGAAGAGACCTAACCTACGTTTGATAGGTGTACCAGAATGTGATGAAGAGAATGAATCCAAGCTGGAAAATACTCTTCAGGATATTATCCAGGAAAATTTCCCCAACCTAGCAAGGCAGGCTAATATTCAAGTCCAGGAAATACAGTGAACACCACAAATATATTCCGCAAAAAGAGCAACCCAAAGGCACATAATCATCAGATTCACCAGGGTTGAAATGAAGGAGAAAATACTAAGGGCAGCCAGAGAGAAAGGTCAGGTCACCCACAAAGGGAAGCCAATCAGACTCACAGCAGATCTCTTGGCAGAAACACTACAAGCCAGAAGAGAGTGGGGACCAATATTCAACATTCTTAAAGAAAAGGACTTTCAACCCAGAATTTCATATCCAGCCAAACGGAGCTTCATAACTGAAGGGAAAATAAAATCCTTTGCAAACAAGCAAATACTCAGAGATTTTGTAACCACCAGGCCTGCTTTACAAGAACTCCTGAAAGAGGCACTACGTATAGAAAGGAGCAAGTACCAGCCATTCCAAAAACATACCAAATGCTAAAGAGCATCAACAAAATGAAGAATCTGCATCAACTAATGAGCGAAACAGCCAGCTAGCATCAAAATGGGAGTATCAAATTCACACATAACAATATTAACCCTAAATGTAAATGGACTAAATGCACCAATCAAAAGACACAGACTGGCAGACTGGATAAAAAGCCAAAACCCATCGGTGTGCTGTATCCAGGACACCCATCTCACATGTAAGGATACACAAAGGCTCAAAATAAAGGGATGGAGAAAGATTTACCAAGCAAATGGAGAGCAAAGAAAAGCAGGAGTTGCAATTCTCATCTCTGATAAAATAGACTTTAAAGCAACAAAGATCAAAAGAGACAAAGAAGGACATTACATAATGGTAAAAGGATCGATACAACAAGAAGAGCTAACGATCCTAAATATATATGGACCCAATACAGGAGCACCAAGATACATAAGGCAAGTTCTTAATGACTTAAAAAGAGACTTAGACTCCCACACAAGAATAGTGGGAGACTTTAACACTCCACTGTC